GCAGTGACCCCCCTGCATTGGAAGTTGCAGAACAAGAAGCAACAACACTTGTATGGAACTTTTAAGCAACTTGATCCTTTTTATGAGAACAACCAAACATCATCCGCGTGTCCCCCTCAGGTTAGGAAGCTCGTTTCTTGGCAATATGGATCCGAGTCAGATTCCCGTATCGTCGTCATATTAAAAGACGGCCGTCAACTTGTTGGATTTCTTTACTGTTTGGATTCACTTGGCGGATTGCTTCTTGTTAATGTTGAGGAATACTATGAGCACCTGGAAACGGGTAAGCGACAGGATTGGGAATCGCTACAAGCAAACATCACGTTTCTAGGTGAAATTATTTCTCGCGCAGCTGCGTTGTTATTAGTACCCCCCGTGATCAAGTTCAACGAATTTTGATTCAACGAAAGTTGATTAGCAAAACCCCACTAGCAGCACCGAAAACGTGATTGGAGCAAAAAAGTGTGCTGAAAAAATAAGGGAACTGGCTGAAATAGGGAACTTCTAGCGTTTGACAGAAACTGTTGGTTGGCTATAGAGACAGTTGACTTCTGCTTGACGTCGTAGCATTGCTAAGTGTTTCTCCATTCGGCTATAAAACTGATCAAACTCAGCTGTTGAAGTCTGGGAAGAGGGGGCAAGACTCGATCGTACAAATCCATGAACATCCTCGCGAGCACATCGAGAAAAGTATTCTCTGAAATTATTGGAAGCAAATTGCGATGAGACTCTTTGGATGTTGCGATAGAGTGAGAAAAGCTCCCGTTTTTGAATTCTGGTTATCATGATTTTGCGATAGCCAGTAGGAACTCAGTCGGGGCCTGCGTTCTGAAGGAATGGGACGCACTCAAGCAAGACGTCCGCATCGCTCTCGTCCTAAATTTAAAGGACCCGACACTCTTGTAACGTCAGCGTTAACGAGAGATGAAAACCCTCTCATCGATGCTGAAATCAACGAAGAAAATGTCACAGATTTTATTTCACAGGTGAGAAGTCAGCTGGTTTTTCAGTCGACGATTTTGTTCGCAGCTTTCTTCGGGAGACCCTGCTGTTCGTGAGAGTGCGATAGTCGCAGCGGGGGCGGTTTTTTTCGCGTCCGTCCAGAATCGCTGAAGAACTCTTGGAGCGTGAGGGATCGATTGAAGGAATTGTGAACGCATTCCATTTAAATGGACCTGATCATAGACGTGTGAGGGCTGCTGCGTCTGAGACGTTGTGTCATTTGATGGAATGGCTGGAAGAGGAAAAAGTTGTCATGATGGTGAATGGCTCAAGATTGCTTGATTGCTGTTTAGAGGTCTTAGTAGAGGTGAGCAATTGAAACAGAAATAGTTTTGACTGGTTCTGACTTTTCAGGAATCTTCTAGTCTTCAGAAGATGTCGTATCCTTCCAAAGAAGCTGATGATGCCATGTATTCCATTCAGAAATGTTTTGATTTACTTACTCTTTTATGGTACGGATCATTTTTAATTCATTGGCCTTGTTTGTTTCCTTTCCAGTCAATTCGATCAAATCGCTGTATCACTCCAAGAAGCCTTCCAGTCTTCTAATGCGGAGGAAACATTTCGTGTTATCACATTTGCATTTGCAGCGGGTGCGCCAATCCCTTCTAAAGTGCGCCTGAGTTTTTGTTGCAGGTCTCCCCGCAGGATGTTTGGGACTTTCCTCCTCCCCCCGATCCCTACAGTCGTCGATGGCCTTCACGTCTGCTGCTGGTTTTCTTGCTGCTGTGCTGCGAACAATCAAACATTACTCGATTGATCTCTCCAAGTCTGAAAAAGCTGTTAGGGTATGGTGTGCCTGTGCTGTAGCGTTGCGGGAGAATTTTCTTCTCTACCAGGTTGGAGCTCTTCTCCGTTCCTTCGCACCGTTGGTATTCACACTCACTGAGGTGTCGTCTCATGGATTGAAGCGAACATTGGAAATTTTGTCCGCCCAGATGGATAATCAACTAGCGGCCACTTCAGTCGTCGCAATGTGGAACACCAACTGTATCGGTGAGCGAACGTCGATTTTCTCTGTTCACGCGTCATTTCAAACAGACGCTGTTCTTCAATTCATTGAATTTGTCAACAGTAATAAAACTCTAGATGCTCCAATTGACGGATTTGGAATTACTCTTGAACAGCTAGTTCCTCTTCTGCTGTCGTTTGTGTCTCCGAACCCATTTACCTCTGCGTTTGAGATGGTTATGGTAATCAATAGCTCTGATGGGAAGGACAAGGCGGAGATTACTCCTTCATCTGCACTTGCTAACAATTGTAAGGTACCGCTTGGTCATGGGGAGAAGTTCGAAGATACAGCGGAAATTGCTGCAGCTCACCAACTTGAATCCCAGCTGCGTTCAATAATAAACGAGTTGGTTCTAGCGAACAAGTGTTTGAAGTTGCTGGATGCCGTTGTCGACAATTCTCCAATGGAAGTTCATGTTATGAGTGAAATAAATATTCCTCCAGCACCAATATTGCCAGTTGCTCTTGAATCTTCGTTAGAATCAATTCAACGCGACTCCGTCAGTAATCCGCCTTCGAGTGGCTGGACGGCAATCGTTTCTACATTAGCGGGTGCCATCAAAACACTACCGCAACTAATGATGCAATTTGGGACACTCACCTCATCTGAGTAAGTAGCAATGATGAGATTTGCAGCATCTTTCTTCAATAGGCATCTATGGGAGCTTTTCGTGGCATTCTTCGATGCGCTGTCATCATTATTCCATTTCTTTGGTTCAGTCATGTCTTCACAGAATCTGCCCTTGCACTGTTCTTCAACATTCAGCCCTTCTGACACTGTGCAAGGTCCCTTCGCTGCCGTTCTTGCTGCCGCTCAATTGCTTGAATTGGTTCTAAAACTCTCCAGTAACTCGCCCCCACCCGTTGCCGCTATTCTGACATCGATCGAATTTGTAGAGGCCTCCGTTCATGTGAGCATCTAGGTGCTCGCATCCTGATTTCAATTTCTCGTTTCAGATGGCTCTTGAGATAACAAACAGACTCCCGGCGCCTCTCAATGTTGTAACGGAGGAGGCAGGAGAGAGTTGTGTTCTCTCAGTCACATCACGCATAGAGGACTTGGTGTCCACTTCGACGTCATCTCTTGTCGAAGCGATCGCCGCAGCCGCTGTTAAAAAGACCTCAAAAAGAAATCAGAACCATGAATGACGGGGAAGACGACGAGGACGACGAGCTTGCTGAATACCGCAACCGTGAATTAGCTGATTGCGTCTCAGTTTGCGAATCCATTTGGCAAGATATCCAAGTGCAGTTGAGCGCGTTGAACTGTTCTATCGGAAGAAGGTGGAGATCGACGTCGATACTGAGGGAAATTTTATCGCGATCACTGATTGCTCTTGAAGAGAAATCGACTACGATTCAACTCAAGGCAGCTTTGCTCGATTCGATCTTTGACGTTTTTGAAGGTGATTTTGTTTCCTTTGATGTGTTTTATTGATTTTTGCTTTTTAGATGAAGACTATGATCCTCTCTTTGTTGAGTTGAAAGCTGTCAATCGTCTTGAAGAAATCTGGAAACGCGTTCGTGGATCGATGAAAAAAATGTCTAAGCGAAGCGAGGGAGATCGCTTTCAGGTTCAAGCCGCAGTTCAAAATCTTCAGGCTTTTATTTCATATAAGAAGTCTCATATACACTGAAAATTCATCTTTTCTTCAGAACACTTGTTTTTGATTTCTTTTTTGTTTTGCTTGCTACTCTGTTTTCATCTTCACTAGAAGTTTATGTCGGACAAGAAAAAAACTTCAAGCTCGGGGAGATCAGAAGTGTGTAGACCTTTTAACATTCCTGTCAGCTAGGGCTCTGACATACAATTGATTCCATCTCATGCGGCCTGGTAAATCCGAAAATTGCCTCGAATAACGCCAATCTGGCGTCAAATTTTGGGTTGCAACTGAACAGGAAGAGACATTGTTCGGATCGGACTCTATTCCACCCACTCAGCCTCAATGGCTCCAATTTGATCCGAATTTGGTCCTTGTCGTAAAGCGCTTTCTGCAGCAACTTGATCCACACCACCTTTTGAACGCTTTGCACCGGACCCACTCTAACAAACAAAACACTTCTTCAACATCGCGGGAGGTTTCTTCACCTTTCCAGTTTTTGCTGAAGCTCCAAAATTGTTTCTTCCAATAAATGCCGTTTGATTTCTAGCTTCTCCCTTTCCATCTGAGAAACGCTTCGTCGTCATTTTCATTCTACTGAAATGAACTCACTTGTGCAGCTAATATTTCGCGCCCTTTAACACATTGTTCATGATACTCTCGTCTTGTAATAACAGTCAAAATATGTCTCATTCCAATTCTGACCTAGGGCAGTCACTGCAACACCGCCAACCGAGAATTCCCTACTTTTTTGAGACGACCATGGTTCTCTTGTTCAAGTCTATTCTGCGCGAACGCGTCCCTCTCACTCAATAAATAGTTTTTTTCTTTCAACAACACATACCTGGAAGGACAAGATAAAGTTTTCTCATACGTATTCATATTAAGTACCAAAGTTTATGTAAATCTTCAGTCGAGCGTTGTTCTAATAGAACGCGAGGCCAAGCATCCCCGCTACGTGAAAGAGTATGTTTCATTTCAACGCTGATGGTGGGGTCGATATAACTTCCCTACACAACGTTTGGGTTGAATGAAAACAAATCATCGAAATTCTCACCTCCCAGAAGGCGGACAGACCGCCCGACGTTCTCCAATCCCGTCTCGGATTTGGGGGACGCTGGTTAACCATCTGAAACCGCTTTGAACTTATTCGCAGAATTCCGAAACCCATTGTTTGTTCTGTGCGCCGTTGCAAAAAACTGGTTCGATATTTTCTCAGCAGGAGGAAAACTCTCGTGCAATTTGTTTCAAACTATATCAAGCACATCATGCGATTGGATGCATGGATCACACTTCTGAAAACTTCAGTACTGCAGGGACAAGGTGTGGATCCTGGTCATTCAGATGGTTTCAGTCACCTAGAGATGTCAGGGCGCTAAAGGCAAAATGGCGACTGTGAAACGAACATTACTAACGGGACTCCCATCCGAATCAAATAGATTAAAGCGCACTCTATATGTCGGAGGGTTAGATGACCATGTCAATAAGGCAATTTTGCAAGCCGCATTTATTCCCTTTGGGGATATTCGCACGACAGAAATCCCAATAGACAGAGCGACGGGTAGGAATTCCAATTAAATGTGAAATTTCATTTTGAGAATCAGGAAAACATCGAGGATTTGGTTTTATTGAATTTGAGGAGGAGAAGGATGCTGATCAGGCAATTGACAACATGAATGAAGCGGAGTTATATGGACGGATATTGAGGGTTAACTTGGCAAAAACACCAGCGAGAAGGCCTGGAGAAGGATCGAAGGCTGTATGGTCGGATGACTCGTTTTTGCGCCAGCAATTGGCTGAAGAATCGTTGCCAATTACGGAAGAAGACATGGACCTGGTGAGAATTACATCATTGCCATTTTTTTATTTGAAGACCGTCGTGTTGTTTAGGCTGCCTTATTGAAGTGTACCGAAGCTCAAGAAGCACTAAGAAAGCGTGAAGACGATAGACGTCTTGAACAAGCTCAAATCTATGAGACCCCACCTGATGATTAGCCGAAAATTCCTATCGATTTTCATTGTTTTACGAACATACTCAGTCCCGTGAACCCCAGCAGTCCCACAATCTGAAGGGCCATTCTTAAAATACACCTTTTTAATGCTTCTCAATTTTACTTCCTTCAGCAGACGAGGGTTCTCGCCACTCGGCGCTTTATGGTCTGTTCGACCCAGGAACTCCCATCGTGGTGATGGAGCCTTCAGATGGGCTGCAGCTGGCGCGATTCTAGCAGCTCCGTTGCTGGTCCCCAACGATCGACCACTCTTCATGCAAAACCTAACTGCCGGTTTTACATCATCGGCAGCTCACTGCTCACCAGCACCGCCAATTGAAGAGCTTGATGTTGGAAGCATGGATCAATTTAAACCCGGCGAACTGCATGAAATCACTATTCATGGAGGTGCGCGTGTAGAGAACAAACTGAGAAGAATAGTAACTTCCCTCTTTTTTAGGAAAAGATCAGATTCTAATCGCTAATATTAATGGGAAACTGTTCTGCACGGGGAATAGTTGCAGGTTGGCCTCCTTAGTTTTCGTTCGACCTAATTGTTCCATTATCTCAGCCATTATTCGGCCCCACTTCATAGAGGCATTGCTAGCAAAAATGAGACGATCCAATGCCCCTGGCATGACGCTGAGTTTGATTTAAAAACTGGAAAATGCATTGGCGGTGAGAAAGAGACGCGTGTCTCTATCGGTACTGCGCGATTGGTTCTCAGGATGTGGACTGAAGGGCATTCCAACTTATCCTGTAGAAGTTCGCAACAATCGTGTGTTTGTGACAGTCCCAGTAGTTGACGAAATGGTTGATTTCATCGATGTCCCAATGGCGAAAAGAGATCCTGAAAATAAGACGGTCATCGGGATTGTCGGGGGTGGAGCTGCAGCGTTGACGTCAGCCGAGACTCTGAGACAAGTGGGTTAGCACAGATGACAGATCCTTCAAATTTCCCGTTCAGGAAGGATTTACGGGGCGCATTCTCATGTTCACAGAAGAGCCGCATGCCCCTTATGATCGCCCTGTGCTCTCCAAGAATTTCAACGCAAAGATTGATAAGCTGCTCCTTCGTACGCCTGAATGGTTGACGCAGGAAGCTACCGTAGAATTCCTTCCCAATACAAAAGTTAAACATGTTGACGTGCGAAAAAAGACAATCGTCACAGAAAATGGCGAATCATACAATTGTGACAAGGTAGGAGTGAGGGGGTCAGTCTGGAACTGCTTGACGATCTCCGACAAATCGGCAGAGCGTCTCTAACTCGTCGTGTTGTTCAGATTCTAATTGCAACAGGCGGGATTCCTAGACGTTTGAAAATTCCAGGAAGCGATTTACGAAACATTGAAGTGTTGCGGAGTTACAATGATTTGCAACGTCTTGCTATTTTCGGAAAACTCGATCAGAATGTTGTTATTATTGGGTCGTCGTTCATTGGGATGGAATTAGCGGCATCGTTTGCGAAGAACGGAGCGAAGGTCACTGTTGTAGGAATGGTGGGCATCTCAGCGCAGTGGTTGCTCTTTGCATTGCTGCGCGTTACAGGAGGCTCATCCTTTTGAGCGTGTGTTGGGTGCCCGAATTGGGCAGCAGCTAGCGGGGTTCCTCAATCAGAAGAAGGTAGTGTTTAGAGGTGGAAGAAACGTCGTCAAGTTCCAGTGAGTTCCAGCTGCGTCATTGATTGGTGAAATCCTTGCATCCAGCGGTTATTCAGGCAAAGTCACGGGTGCTGAATTGAATAACGGCGAAATCTTGCAAGCGGACCTGGTCGTACTTGGAGTTGGTGTTGTACCAAACACTGAATTGGTTCAGGGAGTCGAAACACTTCCTGACCGTTCACTTCACGTCGATCCATTTATGCAGTGCGCTATCAAAGCGTCAATATATGCAAAGACTTCTGTTGTTCATCAGAGTCCGTGGATGCAAAGATGTTTATGCAGCAGGTGATATTGCGACCTTTCCCTACTACAAGTTAGGGGAGGATATCAGGATTGAGCACTGGGACGTTGCAATGCAACAAGGACGCATCGCAGCTAAAAACATGATGGGGAAAATGGCACCCTATGATAGCATTCCGTTCTTTTGGACAATGCTTCTCGGAAAGAGTATCAGGTGCTCATTCAAGTTGCTCGAATCACGCAATTTTTTTTCTCCAGATATGCAGGCTACTGTGTAAATCCTGATGAAATCGTCATCGAAGGTAATCTGAAGGATATGGAGTTCGCTGCGTTATACGTTAAGAATGACCAAGTGAGTCTTAAATTGAAGTGGAAGACAGAGAAGCTGTTGTTGCTATATCTGTATTTGTGCGAATGAAAAGATAGAGGGTGTATAGCTCAGTGGTAGAGCAGCTGACTGCAGATCAGCAGGTCCGTGGTTCAAGTCCGCGTGCGCCCTATTTTTTCCATCCTTGGTGGACAGATTCAGGCTGTTGCTACCTGTGGGAAAGATCCAGCAGCTGTCGCAACAATTGAAGCTATGAGGAGAAACCTTCTTCCTTCGTATTTGGAATATCAATTAGGGTTGATGAATGTTGAACAGCTGGTTCGGGTTGCCCAGGTAATGAGATTCCGATAATTCAATTGCCATTAATGTCCTTTTGTAGCACAATTGCGCACAGCAAGAATAGACACCCGAACACATACTCTAAAAGTGCACGACAGCTCGTTTGCAACAACCTCAAAAATCGAAACCTCCATCAAGATCTGTCACGTTACACATTGTAATCGCTGTGACCAAGCGTTGCATCATAATCTTAAACAAAAAACAGAATTGCGATTTGTTTATATAGACGATGATTACCTCCTGGGACGAGTATAATGGCATTTTCAGAATACCAAAACACGTCCCTGCTTTTGGAAGTCGGGAGTCAACAAATGAAACTTGATCCATGTTCGTTTCATTGATGTTGTCTGATGCTAGTCGATCGTATCTGGAAATAACGGCCAATTGAACAAAATAAGACAGACTTCCAGCTAATACCTCAAAAACTGCAAGTCAATGTTTCCTTCTGTTAATTTTGAACTCCCAGTAGTGAAGCGGCAAAATGCTCTTAACAGTTCCTGGTCAAATCCTCGCAGTATGGTGCGAAGCCACCTGTGAAAAGACAAGACTTGGTGAAAGTGTGATTGCAACTCTCTTACTGCATATGGGAGTCAGAATAGCCGGAGCGAGCTTCAAGACGAGACTGCAACAGACCACTAAACAAAATCATAGGTTGCCAACTTACGATCAGATCAGCCACATCGATGGTGTTATCTTCACCAACTACTCGCCACAAGTCCTCGGCTGTTAATAGCAGTGTTGCCACAGATGGAGGAATGACATACTGAAGACCATCTTTCATGCACTGAGCGATAAGATGCTTGTTATTAGCAAGCACTCCTAGTGTTTGATGAACCAGTACATTACACTTTGAAAGTCGGTCCAGCAATTCGGAGAACTCCTTCTGCGAGCAACTGAAGAAATCATCTCGTTTCCTCGTTTCAACGGACGCCCATTCGGCCATTTTGTTGATAAGCGAGGGATGGAAAAGCGGTCCTGAGTGGCTGACGGTCTGGAAGAAAGGTGTCGTCATTGACAATCACGAAGCAATTTAACGGACCTTGTTTAACAGTGAAACGGCAGCATCTAAGATGAGAACACATTCGGATTCTCTTTCAAGAATACTTTCAATATCTGTGTACGCTATTTTGATAGTACGCTCAGTAAAACTGCCGGTGATTGAAGCTTCTGTCATTTGTGACAACACTCGATCATCACTGCTGCTGGATGACTCCTCGAGACAAGTGACGTCCTTTGCAATTTCGTTTTCCCTATTCAAGTTGCTCAAACGCTGCACCAAAGCATCCATCAACTGAACAACTCTGGCATCAAAGATATCCGTTGCTGCGATATCCTCTGAGAGCACCTAGAAAGAGGAGAAAACATCCAATTCGTGCATCAAACCCTGGCCTACCATCCCATCAGTACACAAGCGCAGAAGAACAGGGTCGATCGGAGCTGCCAAGGTTGTTTTGGTTTCGAGAGCCATTCCAATCAGTGCGCCTATTGCCGTTATGGCTCGTGACCATTCCCTCAATCTCAATCCTGTCCCAGCGCAATCTACTCTCATAGGTACCAGTTGTCCTTCAACTGAGCGGTACCAGTGCAACAGTTGGAACATTCTTGTGATGTTAATGTAGGAACCGCCATTGACTGCTCCATTCTGGCTCTTGTCTTCACAAAGCTCTTTTTCTGCCGTCAGTAATTTGAAGATCTCGTCGAGTAAGCGATCTCCAGTTGGTTTTAAATGATTTCCAATTCTTTCATTGAAGATCATTGAATCACGACCTCCAACGCTGTTCATCATATTGCTGCTCTCACAAAATAATCCCATTCGCTTCAAGTCAGACTGAAAATCTCTACAACAATGAAAGATGCACAAGATGTCCGGCGACTCCCCACACTTACGAGATGACATCATTGTAAGGCCCTCCCAAGTCGTGAGCGCCTTCACCAAGCAGTATGGCGGTGAAAGCGCGCTTTACACTGATAAACTTGTTGAAGGGGAAACGACCAGAATTGAGTTGCGAAGCCACCTGTCCCAAGACAGTCTGGAGAGAGATAAGGAGAGAGGTGAGGCGCACTGTTTCTTCTTGTTTCGGATATCTGGATGCCTTACTGTTCGAAGCAACGAGCAATCGTCGAGAGATCCTGCCGCTGAACTGAAAATAGAAGTTTCTGGCACGACAAAACGATCAACAGCGATGGAAGCTTTATCATTGACGTCAAATTGAACCCTGCGTAGCAAAGTGAGACTTGGGGGTGATAGAGATTCTAAATGAGATGCGAGAGCCTTCCATGACGACCATGTTGTTGTAAGGTAAACCAGCTGCTTTCTCACAGCGTAAAGCAACAACTGATATGGCGAGGACTCCGACTTCACGGGCAATGATGGGCAAAGATGATCGTCCAATTGCGAGATCAAGGAATGGGAAGTTCTTTCAAGCTGGTCCACACCAAATGCCCAAGACGGAAGGGAAGAAAAACTGAGATTCCAGCGTCCAGATGGATCCAGAAGAGAACAAGAGAGACGATGCGATTCAACAATAGTCGCGAGAATTTGAGGAAATTGATCAATCTGGTGCAATGGGTTGAACCAGTGCCGTAGTTCGCCGAGTCGGCGAGCCAAGGTTGCACTGCAGATGTTGGTGAGACGGTCATCATTTTGGAGGTTCAACAGATCGCTTCCAGATTTCTGAGCTTGAGGAGAGAGCGGTTGAGATGGAAGAATAGGAATCCAAGGTTGAGCACGAGAGAGCAAGGCTGGTGGATTATTCTTGTTCAGTTGAATGGGACACAAAGGATTCATCCAGGGCAAGATATCACGGTGGATGTCAAGATTGAGATCCTTCAAAAGATTAAATTTAAATAGATCATCCTGAGTATAGGGATACGGGAGTGTCGGTACTTCGATGACAGCGGTTGTATCGAGACTTCGACGCGTATAAAGTCGCATTGCGTTGCCGTTGATTAGAAGATGAAGATGGAAGTAGGCAGGAGCAGGAGGCCAACGGATAAGATGGGGGAACTCAACCGCGCGCAGTTCGCTCACAAAGAATACTAGAAAACGGAAACAAGGTCTGTTAAACGGAAAATGGGTCTTTTACTCACCTAAACGACTCGTAACTAAAAAGTTCAAAATAGTGTCCACGTGAATCTTGGGACATGCCGCTTGCCATTGAGAAACTTTCTCGGCAATTTCCTTTCCTTCACTGTCACATGTTGACGCCGTTTTCACTAGACTCAAATATGTTTGATACGACTCAACAGCAGCCATGGCGTCATCCAGAGACTCCGTGTTTATTTCCCATCCCAGCAATTGAATTTCAGAGGACACATCGTTCTCTGGCTCTAGATTAGTGGGCGCTCCCAGCATACCGCAATACGCTCCAAAAACGTGAGATGCCGAAGAGTCTTCCATCAAATCACGTAAAGCAATCGACGACGGATCCGTAATTTTCGCTTCATCCTTTTCTTCGGCCTCGTTCTTTCCTTTGCTTTCATTTTGTTCTTCTGCCTCGTTGGTTCCATTTTCTTCTATTTGGTTTCCATTCGGATTGTTTGCGCGATCCTCGAAGAACGTTGAATAAACCAATGAGGCCTTCCATCGAGGCTTGTCGACGCTTTCTTTCTCTGTGTTTCGTTTCACAATTGCAAGAGTGACGAAATTGAGAAGAAGAGCGCGATCACTGGGACTCAAAGCAACGTTCTCTTTGACGTGTGGCTTTTTCGACAAAGCCCTTAAAACCAGGGCAGACATCGATGGAAGCGCTTTGGGACAACACATGGTGTTCCACTGCGTGGCTTCGCGATACAATGATCCATTCGAGGGACCAGGTTGAGGAGAGAGAACGCTTTTCATCCTTGACATTAAATAGGAAGGCGAAACGACACCCATCAGACACAAGCGATCGAAGACCGACCGAATAAGGAGATCAACATCACCGGGCATGGAGCGAGGGCTGTTTGGGGGGACGGGAGTCGTCGTGAGAGCTTCAAGTTCTTTCAATGCACGGCTGGAACACGCGAGCCTCTCCTCCAATGAAACCATCCTGTGAAGCTGGAACTCGAAGAGTTTGATATCCCCTTGATGAAAATCCCGGAGAAGAGGCGTGACGTCAACAACAGACGATGTCATTTCTCTGTCATCAGCTGTTAAGGACACTTCCTTGGGACATTTGGATGAGGACGAACTTTCACCATTGTGGCCAAATGGCGACACTTCTAGTTTGAGACAGAAATTCTGTGATGCCGCCAATAGCAATGATCGTGGAGAGACTGGCAGTCCAAGATAGAGTGGAGATGCCATCAAACGGATAGAAGCTACTGTTGGGCCTGAGCGCAGTTAACATGATGAAACATCAGTTCGACTTAGACGACTGACCTGGTACTATTTTGGGCACAACCATCACCCCTGGAGCTGCCCAAGCGGCCCATGATTGAATAGACATCCACTGATCTTTGTCGGAGGTTGTTTCAACTCCCAAATCACGGGTTTCTAATTCAATGACTTCTGTAATTTCTTGACCTGTAGAAGAATCCTTCCGTTTCATGATAGCGAGCATTGAGACCATCTGTTTGACTTTGGAATGAGCTATTGGGTTGACAGATGTCATGATAGTATGACTCTGAACGTCCACTATTTGGATCATTTGGCAAACGTAAGTACGATCATTTGGCAAACGTAAGTACGACGACAACAAACACGGAGCTCGAAGATGTTTGGAAGGTTTTCTTGTATCAACTTGGCCAAACCCATCGCAGCTTTCCCCCAGAGTCCAACCCATCGCTGCAACCGATCTAACTTTTTTTTCGACATTTTTCCATTTGTCTCGGCGCTATCCGCCGAACTTTCGATGCATGAAAGAAAGCGAACAAACTGGTCGTCGTTTGGTCCCGTTGAACTTTCGTTATTTTCCGCTGGATCACTTCCCGTCGTGTTGTCCGACGTTGTCTGGTTAATTTGTAGCGGCTCGTCATTTCTGGCTTTCTTTCCATTGTCTTCCCCGAAAGTCACACTCACATAAGCCTCT